CACTTTTTGTTAAGTTTCACTCGTTTGTTTTCCTTTGCTTTTTATTTTATTTCATTTTATTTCATTTTATGTTATTTTGTGGCTCACGCACTTTATTATATGAGCGCGTATATTTTCATATAATGTGTGTAAGATGTGCCCAGGTAAAGGCAAAGGAACTGCTGCAGGTACAGGTACCTCTATGGGTACAGTTTGAGGTGGCCACGATGTTACATTTTTGGCATTAATAACATTTTTCGTGCACTTGTTAGGATGAGTTTTTCGTTTTTCTGGAAATAGCTGAAAGAGATATCAAATAATTCAATAGATATGCCCGAAAAATACCACCAACAGAATTCCAGCAAAATTAATTACAATTGTTTGGAAATTAAGTAAAGCTCGCCGCTACCTTTATTGAAATATCATGGCAAAGCCCCGGCACACTTTCATTTGGCGTAGCGAGAGATTAATGCCTGAGCCCGTGCATAAAAACCCACGCTGTAAAAGTAATAAAGGACAAAGGCAATTGTGGTCAGCATGACTGGACTAACTATGCCCTCATCAAGCCTAAGCCCGGGCAGTTAGCTCGCTCTCCCACTCTCCCCCTCTCCCACTCTCACGTCTTTCCGCTCCTGCGCTAGGCCACATTTAATATGGGGCATATTCCGCACAGCGCAGATGCTCCGAGATTTGCACGAACCCTGATCAATTATTTAGTGTGTGAGGGCAGTGGTAGCGTCGTCTATGTCTCTGGTCTTGTCACGTGGCTGGTTTGTGATTTTTGTCTACGTGGAGCATGTACCAAACATTATTTAATAACACATTCTAGTTAGCAATGAAGGCTGTACGAGACCCGCTAACCAAATTAGTCAGTGTCCGTACTTTGGACACCTCCAGTACCACCGACACACAGTCGGCGTTGGCGCTTTCGCTGTGCTCTGTGCCGTTTAATAGGCCCGCAGCTGGGGCCCCAAGTTGCAGCTGGCGGCTCCTTGAGTCGGAGAGAGGCATTGCACTGTCAAAAGTTTTTGACACGTACAACGACTAAAGTTTTCAGCGGTGGGCAGGACATAAATAAACACGCCCTTGTCGTTGCCTCATTCCCATGCCCACGGCCACCGCCCACCACCCACTGCGCACCGCCCACCGCCCACATCTACCTCCTCGTGCCTGCGCTTGGAATTCTGCCTGGGCGTGGAGGGAATGGTATAGGAAGAGAGTTCCGCCGAGCGACCGGAACGTGACCAGAAGCCGGCCAGCGGTTGCTCACGTGGCCAATTGCCTGGGCCTGTTTCGTCCGATTTGTCCTTTGATGCTGCTCGGCTCGTAAATTTTTCAACAAGTTTTTATTATGGCTGCGTGTCCTTGCACAAAAAAGTAAAAAAAAAAATAAACAAAATCCAACGCCCCCAACTCATTCACTCACACACACATACACGTACGTATTTTTCGTGATTGCGACGGGCTCTTTTTTTCGTTATTTATTTAATAAAATTTAGGAATATGCCTGGAAATAATTTATGGTGCTGGAATTTGCACATTAATCCTGCGAAATGTTGCCAAATTATTGAGCCAATAAATATTTACCTTGCTCACTGCCCAGCAGCCCCATGCAACCGCACTCGCTCTACACCACTCTCTCTCTCTCTCTCTAGCATTATCTCTCTCTCGCACACACGCACTTTCTCGGTAACCACCTACGAAAAGTTTTCAATCCCCGTTGGGTCTGCTGACGTTAAGCCATAATTTTGATTTAGACCTCTGAAAGCCGTTTCAGATTCCTTAAGCGTGCATTTATCTCTTTCGAACACTGTTGTCGACAGCCGGCATAGCAAAAGGGTTCTGCTCCTTCATCTTCTATCTGTCTATCTATCTAAAACAACGAAAATTACCATATTCGGAATCCTATCTGCCGAGGCCATCAATCACAGTCTGTGAATATGAATTTTGTATTTTGGACCAATTTGCCCAGTTGTAAGAGATTTATGAGCGCACTGAAGATGAAAATACAAATACATATATGTATGTGTATACACGTACCTTGTCAGCCAGCCATATTTTGGGCAAATCAAACTGCATTGCAAAGGTAAATTGCTGTTGATGCGAACCAACTTGGCCTTATGCCCAATTTCACATTGCATTCGGGCTAGCTGCAGCGATGAACTGCATCAATCAGCGAGCAGTGCACCGACTATAATTTAAATTTACACTCGCATCACGTACAAATTTCACACATTTTTCGATGCATTTTCAACTGGCTGCGGCCAAAAACCGCTGATGAGTTTTATGCCTCTGAATTTTTGTGTTTTGTGGCTAACTAGTTCAGCGCGTGCGAGTGTATGTTGAAAGCGCGATTGATTTCAATCGTCTCTATATACAAATCGCACAAACAAACAACAACAGCAAAAAAACCGACAGGCTGGCCATTTTCCATGGCATTTTGGTGGCGGCATTTAAGTTCGCTGACCGACAAATTTCAATATGAATTCAATTTTCCGCTAAATTGAACTGAGCACAAAAGATGAGCAAATTACGAGCGCAAGTTTACGCTTAAATAAATTCAAATAAATAAACTATACGCAGCCCGACTTGTTAGTGGCAACAGCTAACATCCGTCTAGTTCGTACTTTCCAGTGCGCTGCCCTAACCACAAGCCCAACTCAATAAGAAAACAGAAAACGAAAAGAAAAAAAAAAAACCCCAACATGCTTCGCCCTCAAGTGGACTTGCTTGCAGCTTGCGGCAGCGGATGCCGGCCAAGATGAAAGTTAAAATATTCGTATATATTAATTTCTGTAGCTGCAAAAAGAAAGCAAAACATGGAAAAGCCATAAACCAAAGTTCAGCGGAAAGTTCATCATCATGAGTGGTGGCTGCAACAGCCACTACAAAACCTTCAACAAGCACCAATGGCCAAAAGCAAAATCAACTAAAAACGCCTGCGACGGCACGTCAAAATCCGACAGATTCAGATACAGATACAAAGGCGAACCAAAGACAAACCCCGACTGCGCTGCCCATGCCCATGCCCCAGTCCATGCCCCAGCCCGTGCTCGTGCCTCGTGCCTCGGCCCGATGCCGAGCCGTCTGCAGCTGCAGCTCCTAGAAGGATCTATAATGGTGTCACTAGTGGCAGCAGAGGGTTCCATGGCGTTGGCCATGTGCGGCGTGTGCGGGCCGGGCACGAAGCACTTTCCGCTCAGTTTGCAAAATATGAAGTTTGCTTTCGAAAGTTTGCGGTTTTTGGGCTTCTTGCGGGCGAACAATAAGAAAACGTTGAGAAATACATTAAGCCAACATAAAGAAGCATTTGCCAGCCAAGCGGGGCCAGCTAAGCATATGCACGTGTGTGCGTGTTCGTGTGAGTGGGAGTGGAATTGCAAGTGTGAGTGTGAGTGTGAGTGTGAGTGCTTGTCTAAGTGTGTGCTAGTGTGTGCTTTCAGCCAACACACTCAGTCATAGCTCTCAGAATAACAAGGGATTTGTTTGGTCTCTACACGCTTAATACTCAACCCGTTCCCCTAGCAAGCAAAACCATTTTCTCGGGTTCGGCTTTCATCAGCTTCTGCTCAGGCGTCGCTCCTTCAAGCCGGGCATCAGCTTTCCGGCTTGGACATGTTTGGGCCTGACGTCCAAAAGTGTCAGTTAATGAATGTTTTGTCAAACAGCTCGCATCTTTTACAGACTTAACAAAAACCCCTAACTCGATGTAACCAGTACTTCCCAATGCTCTCCCCTCCCCCCACACACAAAAAAAGAGCAAAACTAGCCAAACAACAAATACTTGAAGCCTTGCATTTTGCGGTGCGTGTGTTTTTTGTTGGGCGTGTGTATATGTATGTGTGTTTGTTAGATAGATGCCCATTACTCATCTCGAAGGGTTCTGGCTGTTGCTGGCTAGCCGCACATCACTGTTAGAATTTCATGGATAAATGAACACAATTGATACCTTTTGTGTACTTTTAATCTAGCCAGTATAGCCACAGCCCACATTTGGGCAAGAACTTTGAGTGTCCGTCGCCTGGGATACTGAACTGGATGGAAAATCACAAAAAAAAAGAGCAATTTAGTGAACACAATCTAGCATAGTTGCCAGCTGACAAAATACAAAACTGCAACGAGCCAAAGAAAAATGTATATTTTTGTTCGGCTCAAACTAAAAACAGAAAATCTGTGCCAGGCTGTAGAGTGTAAGAAAACAAGAGCAGGCCACAAAGAGAATGTATGCATTCTTGTTTGGGATTGGAATTAAAAGTCTGCCTTTATTATTTCATTTAAATTGCGTGCGTTAGGCTAGCCCAGAGCGAAAAAATTGCTTAAAAAGTTCCGACTTTGAGTTCGGAGAGGTGACAAGCTTCCAGCTTGTCAAGCTGAGATAATTTTAGACGAAATTGAGTTTTTATCTTAATATGTTGGTTATTAGTCAAGCGAAGTCTTGTCGCCATTAGCCAAATTAATTAGGACCCATTTCAACTGGCGGTTAAATTTGCATGATGAAACAAGCCCGCCGCCCAAAGGGGATTAAGCGGAAAGTGACAGAACCAGAAGGATTCCACCCATAATCCTGCTCTACTTATTTGCTATTATAATTGTTAACGAATCGCTTTCGGGTGTGCAAAATAAAAATAAAAAAATAATAAAAACGACAGAAAAAAATCGCAAAAAAAAGAAGAGTTGAAACCAAACTAATTAATTGTGATTTCAGTGGCGAAATTTGTTTTAATTTCAAATTAATATCGAATTCAATAAATACCCCCAAACCCAATTAAGACGCGGCGTGCAATTGAAAAAATAAATAATTTAATAATTTATTCCATCGTTAAGCAAATAAAAAATGTTCAAAGCGAATGCTGCGGCTGCCTTTTTCGCTTGTTCAATAATCGAGTTATCAGTAACGAGTAATGAAATTCAGTTTACATTTTTTGTTTTCATGTGTACCACGAACCAATGTGCAGTAATAAATTAATATAAACAAAAAATTTATATACACTTTAAGCAAATAAATGAAAATAAAAACCAAACCACGCCCGAAAGGCTGATAAAATGCAATTAATTGTTTTGGCAGCGGGGCGAATAGCAAGCAGCATTACAATTTAAAGCATATCGAGCATAATGCTAAAATCACACAATGAAGCGTCGTTATACAATTACGCTATAAAATAAATATTTAATGGTTGGCAACATACATTTGAAAAGTACATAAAACAAAGTGTTATTCATTGCAACTTCCCACCGACAGCAGATGGTATTTGATCGATCCAGCGATGAGAGCGCCATGAATACGCCGAGCATGAATGCCAATATGAATATGAGCATCAGCATGAATGGGAGCACATATATTGACCAGCCGTAAGAGCCAACATATATGTATGTATGCATGTATGTATGTACGACGCCATCGTTGATGATGATAACAATAAAATATGAAAATTCAAAAAATGCAAATTGTCAAAATCTGAGGGTGCACAATAAAATCGACCATAAAGAATAGCAAATCAACAGCGGACGCTAAACAACGATAACATACACACAGTCGACACCAATATCAGCCAATAGCAAGGCAACAACAACTCCAGCAACAACAACAAAGAACAAGCAAATCAACTCTGGCCGGTGGCAATGGCCGAGCCGGAGCCAAATCCCGCACAGCATCTGCAATGGCAGCGCTGCCAGCATCCTGCTCTGGATCGACCACAGCTACAGCAGCAACCTAGCAAATGTCGGCACGTGCACAACGAGTGCTCCTGGGGCCATGGCTGGAGCAGAGTCGCCTGGCTGCTGGCTGCTGTGTGCCTGCTGACGCGGCCCGTCATGCCGGAAGTTATTTATCGAGTTGATCCTTTGGGTAAATGTTTTGTTTTATTCTCTCTTTTTTTTTTGCGTTTCCTTTTTATTTTGTTCACAATTCAGCCACATCTACATGTAGAAATTCGCGTCGGTTTTGCGTTTTATCTGCAGCAATAACCGTCCGCTATCGCTCCGACCACTCCGCTCCCATAAGTTGGGATGCTGTGACGCTTTTTAGCTAATGCCCGGCGCAAATGCAGGCGCCAAGTTACCCCTCCCACGCTGCCCCCTCCCAGCTAGATGAACTCATCTGGCGATTTTCCCGCTACCAAATATAAATATATATATCTATATAGTTGAATATGTATTTATGTATTTGTATATAAATCATAATTAAGCGCAAATACACACTGAAAGTGGCTGTTTATGGCCTTTGTGTATTTCTCGTTGTCCAGTTTGTGTTGAAAGCGGCCAAAACCAAATATTTTCCACGGACAAAGTTTCACAAATGATCTGAAAAGCGAGAGCGACCAAATATTTATGTTCGTCATTAATGATTAATAGGGTAGCCGAAGCAAACATTCATAAATTAAACCACATTAATTAACTGCCCGTCAAGAGTAGATACTTGAATAGAGATGCCTGCCAATCTTCGTTCCATTGTCATGAATGTTGAATCATGACCATGAACTACTTTGCGATTACTTATCTCAATACTCTTATGGGCATACATACATATATACAGGCATAGATTTATATGTATGTATGCGCCGAATAATTTGAATACTTTTCTTAAGGGTATTTTAATTTTTCATTAAACGTGTAATAGTAAATATCATCAATTAAACTCATTTCTTTTTCAAAATGCGTTTTCATTTTAGTATACTTTTATAGGCATGCTTGATAGTATCAAAACGTTATATTATATACCGACTATAGGAATTATTGGGATATTTTTAAATAATATAATAAAAATTAATTATTAAATTATCAATTAATCTGCTATATAATCAGAGGCAAGATTACTGAATTTTATCAGTTAAAAAAATTTTTTTTTATCAAGATATTTGTTTTTTTATTTTTTACTTATACTTTATATTACATTGCCTAAGCATTTTAGAAAGAATCGATAAGTATTAGTTTCTAAATATCTTGGGTTAGAGTAATATAAAATTATATTATCATTCTATTATCTTGTTATGTATGTTATTTATAAATTCACTTCTGAGTCCCATGCCAGGGTATTTAATCTTCAGTGTTTGTTCATCCGAATGGAAATCTTTATTAGCTGGCAACATAAAATTCATGTTTTATTTTCCATTTGCTTTATTTTCCACATATAGTTTGCACTATGTATACAGAGTATAAAAACCCCCACACATATAGGATAGACTTTGCTATAAAATTCTTCTTCTCTTTTTCGCTGTCGTTGCAAAAGATGACGCACTTCAGAATCTTTGCTTCTCTGTCAGCAGCTTTCAATATGCGCTGAGTTTATCGATTGGAGCCGTCGTCAGATTGAAAAAGTTTCTCAAAATTAATTATTCGTCGATAGAGATTGAAATGAAAATGAAATGAAAATATTTAATGCGTTTCATTACTATATATATGTACATTATATTTTATTCATTCGACACTCGCACAGAAATATTTGAGTGTGAAGCATTGGCCAAAAGGTGTGCTGTGTCAACACGGTTCTCTTATACTACGCGGGTCGTATAACTGTCTGTATAAGAGAGCTGGCAACCATTTTCAAGTGCACTTAAAAGAAAATCGCAGGCATCGACAAATTTCACGCTCACATGAGCAGAGCCATGAACTTGGCAACGCGTGTAATTAATAAATATTTTCACCAACTTTCTTTTTAAGTGCTTAACGGTCTGGATCATTAATTTCAAGGCCGAGGTAGATAAACATGTCAGCCATACCAGCTCGGTCGAAACTTCCGATTTATGTGTTGTCGCAGCAGCCATTAAATGGCGCGTCGTTAATAGCGAACTTTAGCGACTCGCACTTGCCATAAATATTCAATTGCTGTTCGGATGTACATACATATAATGTATGTTTCTGTGTGTGTGTGTGCGTTGATTCTGCTTTTCTTTATTTATTTTTTTAATATTTTTCGATAGATAAGGCACACGTAGACATTGGTATTTGTATACATATGCCAGGCGGACCCGCCCACCTAATCATAGAGTCAGGCGAGCCCCCGTACTTGGGAGTGCGACTGGCGCCTTGGGTCGCGTTGATAACGGAAACTTTCACGGCCTACGCGCTTGTTTCACATTTCCCAGCGTCGCTTCGCATTAAGATGTGCTTTAATCTTTCATCTGTGGCTGGGCGGCAACAGTAGGCCTGGAGATGGAGGTGTCGGTGGCATGTTGTTGTCCTTGTGCCTTTGTCATATACGATGCCTTTTAGTGTCTTGCTTGAGCTGTAAAATTTAACTGGGGGCGACAGAATGCTGAACACTCGCACACGAGTGACTCAACAGTCCTTAACAATGGCTGAGTAGGCGGCACCATCTTCAACTTTCAGCCGCCTCAACTCTATGGCCTCACACACGCGCACAAGCAGAAGCCGCAGGGTCGTTAATACCCTTCTTTTGGTTTTCTCCCCTCGTCATACCCTGTAACCAACAACAAGGAAACAAACAAGGATATGCCAGATGTGAATCTAAAAATAAAAACAATACGAAAAAAGTTTTGATAAACTCTTTGTTCGAGGATATATTTAGATTAGGAAAATAATTTAAATCACTTAAAATGCTTTAGTGCTTATTCGAGTAGCATTTCTTCTAGCTACAGGGCAGGGTATCATGTTGGCCGTCTCGCGTCTCGCTTGTTCTCAATATTAAAACACTTCTGTTCGGCTGCTTGCGGTAGCTGTCGAGGTTTGTTCAGCTAAACAACCAGGTAAATGCTTACCAAAATTATGAAAAGTGAAAGAGTTATTATCATTTTATGTCGCATAAATTTGCATGAGCCGTCCGCGTGGAGTGCCTGCTGGGACTGCGCCCTAGGGGGGAGGCGCTCCTTAGCGCTCGTAAACTGTTGAGCAAACGTCGCCCGGCTGCTGCTGATTTAGGGGTGCCATAAACGTGCATACGTGTAATGCGTACTTTGTGCCCAGTTACCGATGCTCCTGCCGGTGGGACTGTAACTGCGGCTCCTTAACAGAAGCATCCCTGGCTCTCTAATGGCCGCAACCAGTGCGCAATTACAATTATTAAGATGCTCCAGAAGGATTGTTACCTCCAGGTTGTCAGAGTGCTTTATAACGTGTTGGGGAGGGGCACAATTATCAAGTTCAGATTACGCAACATCCCAGGGAACCCCATTCAAATCGTATTACAGTTGCAGTTTTGACAACTTTATGATCATATGATATGGCCTTTGTTATGCGATGACTATTCGCAATTCAATACACAATATATCGAACTATACGCCGGAGCGTGTTTCGGGTGGAAAATTGGTTTTCAATAATGGAAATGCTAGATGAACGTATACAAATGAATACAAATACATACAAATATACGCAAATATATACAAATTGTATATTATTCATGTGTGTGCCGCACATGTGCTACATACACACACACACACACACACACACACACACACACACACACACACGTATGCATACATATACCGCCCGCCATGCTGTTGGCGTTTTCTACTCGAATTGCTAGTCGCACTCGTAGCACACATTGTCAAACCACCTTCTATCCCCCTAATGCCCGTATTACCCCCTTTTTTGGCAGCCGTTGTAAGGCATTTGTTTTGTAGTGTAAACACTTACTTATGCATACACACATTTTCGCACACTTTTGCATACACACACACACACACAGACACACATGGGCAAACAATTTGGGTAATGAAGTCAGTGGCTCAGAGGATGCCCCATCAACGTTGTCGCCTCTAAAGTGGATAAGAGAAATGTACAATAAACAGAAACAAATGGCACACCATTTTTTTTCCGCTGGAAAAGTGAAATAAAAAAAAAAGGAAAAACACTTGAAAAATAATTTCACATGAAATTGAATGTCTGAGTTTGCTTAGGTGTCAAGTGTCAGTTAAGTTAGAAGACTGAACGATTGCATAATGGAAATTCAATTTACTTCAAGACTATTTTTCCATTAGACACTGCGGCATTACCTGCCACAGTGCCACACTTGAGTGCGCATCAATTCCATTTCGTTTAACGTTCATAACAAACACAATTAATTTCGCTCGCTGTTGTATTTTTCTGTTACTTAACCACCGACAAAGCAATGAATTCAAAACCATTGCTCCAATGGCATTTCAATTGAGAAATTCAGTAGCATTCTCTAGGACTTGTGCATTGTATACCCAATAGAGAAGGACGAAATGAAAAAAAAAGTATATATACATATATTTGAAAAACAAAAATAAATTCACAATATTCGACAAGTCGATACCACATCTTCTTGCCACAATGTCGAGCTATTCTAATTTAATTTAGCTTGATAGAGTTTATTAATGTCGAATGCAATTCCTTGAAAAATAACCCAATTTTTATACGTGTGCCAAATTTAATTGATTGATTTTTCTGTTGCCTTAAAAATACGAAACGATAAAATTGGTTGAATATGTCGACAGAAGCAAGAAAGAAAGGCAAACTTTATGTCACCGAAGTGTGGATGCTTTTTGATAAACTTTAATCTTGAAAAATTAAATTAATTAAGTTTTTTAATGATTATAAAAAAATATATAAACTTTGCATAAGATTTTGATCATACAAAAATTTCTAAAAAATTACAAAAATATCAAATTTAATAAAAATAAAAAAGCTAAAATAATTTAGGTAATAAATTGATATTGATATGATATATGGCAAAATAAAACTAGGCCCATTCAAGGCAGACAAACGAATCAATATATTTTTTTAACAATACACTCACATTGAGATTTTCTAAAATAACATTTTTTTGTTTTTTAATCCACCCGAATTCGAGTGCCAAAAGCATATTGACGCACATACCATTGAGTTCACTTTGAGCTGGGGATATGTGCCTGGCAATCTTTAATTTAACTAACAATGCGAAATTCTACATGTAGCTGAATCAATGTTTGCATTTGATATGCGTTTTGTGAATGGTTTTTTTTGTTTTTTATTTTAGTTAGTTTATTTCTCTCTTTTGACTTTTGCTTTCGGCCTCATTCATATATTAATGCAGCCTCACTTTGGCAATGTTTGCTTTCAGCCCTGCTGGCGGCCACCTTGCGGACGTACCAGCGTGCCGGATGCGATTCAGAACAGCTGTCACTCAGCTGTCCACGTGGCACTAGCATTTCCATAGAGCTGGCCCAGTACGGGCGAGCGGGCGGTAAGTTCGATTGTCACGTACGAATCAGCGAAGTGAATGTTGGACTGTAAGTGGCGACCGGAGTGGTGACGGTGCCGATGGTGCCGATGGTGCAGTTGGTTCCGTCCAACGTCAAGTGAACAGAACAACGGATGGTCGGGCCCTTCGACTGACTAGAGCGGCTGCCAATATCGCAATTGATTGATTGTTGCCCAAAGTTTGTCCGTTACACGCGTCGATTGTACGCATTGTATTTTACTTATTTGTGTGCGCACGTGGCCATGTTTTGGCTCTCTGTGTACTTGTCGACGCCCCCTCGAGTGGCACTAGTTGTGGCAGTAGTTGTAGTAGTATGCACGCAAACAAGCAGACAATCACAATGAAAGCAAATGAGAAGCGAGCCGTGCTTCGCATACGCCCATATCGAGTATACGTACGGATGGACGTCCGTGGCGATTTTCGGAGATGCTCGCAGATTGAGTTGCGTTTGCATTGAGCGCTATTTCCACTCGGCTCTGGCCACATGCCACATGCCACTCAACCTCCGAAGACCACTCTGACCCACTTCACTCCACTTTGGCGCTACCCAGCACTCACTTCGCACCGCTTCGCATCACTTTAACGTGCTTCGAAAAATCGACGAGGACAACGCCAACAATAACAACAACAACAACAAATTTGCCCTCTCGTCCACTTGAACAGATTTATCCGACCACAGCTTGTGTCCGCCTGTGTCGCAGGAGGACCTCACCACGACCGGAAGTGCCGGCGATGCTGTCATCCACAGCGGCACAGAAATCGAAGTCAAACCGCCGGAAACGTGTACCGTAAGCGGATTACAGGTAAGCTGAATCAGTATAATTGCAATTCCATCATCGTCGCACTCATCATCGAAAGAAGGCTCAGCCATGTTCAGCACACGGCTGGCTCCATACAACCACACACACACACACATACACATATATATCCATAGACGTCCACTTATTCATATATGTATTAAGCTACCTATTACATACTGCAGCGACATCAGGCTGCTTCAACGACTCAGGTTCGCCTCGGCTTACCTTTTTTCCTAAATGTATTTTTCCCCATTTTCCGCACGATTCCACAGTGTGCATTCAAAGACATTGCCGTATATACAAGCGCGATAAAATAGCTCCCTTTTGGTCAAAACACACACACACACACATATATATATATATATACATTCATCCAATCACACACACTCGCACACCTCCAGAGCACATGTGAAAGAAGGCAGTTGAAATAAATCAGTGAAGTAGAACGATGCCATAAAAACAGCAATAATTCATAATGAAAATCGATTCGATTCACTTTGGCCAAGCTGAAGGCATAAATCATATAAAATTTTTAGTTACTTACCCAGTCAAAGCTTAAACCGACCCATAGTATAGTATTTATAACTGCACACATTCACACACACACACATACACATGCATTTTTGCTGGCCGAACTCACAAAATCGTTTAGTCCAATCTTTTTGGGCTATCATTAGACCAATACATATGTATATGATTTTTCAGAAATTCTTAGCACTAATATTAATTATCCAAAATATTTCACTATGTACATATGTAGAGCGTAATCAGGAAATCAAAAGTCCTTAACTAAAGAGTCATAAATAATGATTTATCGATTGTGAGAAAATTCCAATTTTGAAATGAATCAACATATGGCTTGCTGGGGCAACATGGGAGAACTCTACCCAATGCAGAAACCAGAAAAATTCCATACATTGTTCAACATAATTTAGTTCAGCAAAAGTTAGCACAACATACTTGTGTGTGCATTGTACATGCATGAGTGTGTGTGTATGGATGCATGTGTGTGTGTGTGTGAGTTTGTGTGTGTTTGTATAGTGCAATTTGTCACATTTATGAGGTCGTTTGGTCTTCGCATGGCACAAAGTTGGCTGCTTTAGTGGAGCCATAGCTGGGGTTAATTTTTCATTGAACCATATCCTTCAAAAATAGCTTGCGCTACAAGGCTGGCCGCCCGTTGCGTTTCATTGCGCACATCAATTGGCAGCAAGACGATGACTTTATGTCTCATGTGTGATGTGTGACATGCGGTCGAGAGTAACCGCAACGGACACACGGCCCGGGACATGATACTCACGCTTCATTTCCGGTGGCTTCTTAAAACGGAACTAAATTGTAACCCAGCCACAATCTCGACCTTTGACTCATTGCAGTTAAGCCAGCTAACGCCAGTTGCCAAGTGCGGTTGCGGCTCACCCGTAGAGCACTAAACGAGCATTGCGTATACGCTCGAACGAAAACGGTAGCGAGTATAAACAAATTATTGTTGTGTGTGTGTGTGGGTGTGTGAGTGAGCGGAATGCCTCACAGCTTGCAGTCGTGCATAAGCTGCCCTCATCGACATAACACGCACGCACACACACGCACACAGCGACACAGACAATTGAATTCCTGAGAGAGTAAAACCTCAAAACGCAATTAAGGCTCTTGCACATATCTGTGTGCGGTGCTCGATTTATTGAATACCTAACTAATTAATCACAAATTGAAATGTTTGACACATATTTAACCATCTATTGCCTATGTGCGGTATATTCTGCCCAATAGCATTTTAAATTGACTAGCCTCACAATAAGCTGAGCAATTACTTAGCCAATAGCTTAAGAATGAAATTCAACTTGACAGAGAAGCTAATAATTTGAATCTTATATCATATTTTAAAAGCAGATGACTTTTGC